AACCTCATCCAGATACTAAATTACATGGGGTACTGTAGAACCATCCAAAGGTTGGCCTGAAATTCTCAACTCCCCAAGAACAAAGAAGGTGGAGGTTGTGGTCAACCACACCCAGAAGTCCACAAGTTGACCACTCCTGCTCTGTCAACTTACATTGAGCTTCCTACATCATATATCATCATGGCCATACAAAAAACAATTTTATCTCTCTCTTCTCCCCCCCCCCCCCCCCGTTATCATAAAATGGATATTATGTGATGCCACCTTCCCCTCATGATGTTGGACTACAACTCTTACTACCACTGGTAAAGGAAGCTTTATATATAATAACAAAGGAATATCAGAAATATTCAAAATTAACTAGGTATTTTTGATATCAAAAATGTTAGAATCAGTAGGCCAAAGCTAGTGTCATCCTAAGGCAGTGGTTCTCAACCTTCCTAACGCTGCGACCCCTTTATATAGTTCCTCATGTTGTGATGACCCCCAACCCTAAAATTATTTTCGTTGCTACTTCATAACTGGAGTTTTGCTATTGTTATGAATCGTCATGTAAATATCTGATAGGCAGGATGCATTTTCATTCTCTGGACCTTGGAAGTTGTAGTTGCTGGGATTTATAGTTCACCTACAAAGAACATTCTGAACTCCACCAGAGATGGAATTGACCCAAACTTGGCACACAGAACGCCCATGACCAGCAAAAAATAATGAAAGGGTTAGGTAAGCATTGGCCTTGAGTTTGGGAGTTGTAGTTCACCTATCTCCAGAAAGCACTGTGGACTCAAATAATGAGAGATCTGGACTAAACTTGGCACGAATACTCAATATGCCCAAATGTGAACACTGTTGGGAGTTTGGGGAAAATAGACCTTGACATTTGGGAGTTGTAATTGCTGGGATTTATTGTTCACCTACAATCAGAGAGCATTCTGAACCCCACCAACGATAGAATTGGGCCAGACTTCCCACACAGAACTCCCATGACCAGCAGAAAATACTGTGTATCCTAATGGTCTTTGGCGACCCCTCCAACACCCCACTGCGACCCCCCCAGGGGTCCCGACCCCCAGGTTGAGAAACACTGTTCTAAGGCGTGTGAGAGAAGCCTCTGTGTGAGAACGCTCCAGTATGAAGGCTGCTGTGTGTAAAACTACTATGTATTTGTGTTATGGAAAACTTATTTTCGTAAATAGTGCAACCATATTATTTTACTACAAAGAAAAGCTTCCTAAAGGAAGATATAACATTGATCAGTGTGTTTTTGTTATTTTTATCACTTTTGGCAACTGGATGGGAGACTGCCAATGAATGTGTGCTATGTTTCAGAGGAGGAACTGGCAAAACCACTTCTGAGTATTCCTTATCTAAGATAACCCTCTCAAAGCCATGAAGTTGACAGGAGAGTCAAAGGAGTTGGGGACAAACATATATGAGACTGAGGAAAGATAAAGGTTTGGAAGGCGAAGTCTTCCTAGCATACCAACGAAGACTTATTTGCGGGTCATAAAGCCCCTTTTAAAAATGTGTCCTAGTTTTCAAGGAATTTTACATCCAAAAATTGACCTCAGATTTGCTCTGTTATGTACAATTATTTCACAATTTGATGTTTTTACAATTGCAATGAACATTTTTTAAAAAACCAGCAACCAAAATAAAATAAAACTACAGTATTAAAAATGGGGTTTTTTTTGTTGCATGTCTGCATTATTTAGGATTATGTAGTTCCTGGCACACTGCAGAGAGCTCACATTGCCCTTTTCTTCTAGGTGAATGGGATTGTATATAATGGGGGCTAGAAAGAAAATAAGAACTCTTAAGAGTATGTGGACTGTGCTTGAACTAGCTAGATTCACAAAAGAAAGGGGGTTTGGCTGACAGTTCCTGCTGATCCCGAGTGCGAGGAGGGGAGGGGGAAAGCAACACAGCCATGGAAATTAAGAGGCTCCAAATAGCATGGCTGCCATTGTAGAAAATGTATGGTGCACTTACCATTTAGCACACAAGCATAGCAGCATGGAGCCTCTTTTTGGAAAAGGCTTTTGTGTAGCTGGGCAAAAGTGCAGGGAGGGAGATGGCTCAAGTGAGTTGATATGCCCAAGGTAGGCAGCCAGGTAACTGATGTATAAGAAAATGGGTCAAGTAGGATGGGGATACTTGTAGTTGTTTGGGATTGGCCTGGGCTATCAAAATGGGGCCTCGTTGAACTGGGAGGGGGAATGATAAATTTTTTGCAATTGTATGAAAAACAAGGGGAACAAGATGGCAGGACCAAAGAATGGAATGTGAAGAACTACCGGCTGTTAGGAATTGTGGGAGTTGAAGTCCAAAACACCCAGAGGGCCAAAGTTTGCCCATGCCTAGCCTAGAGCCATGGCAGTTAAAGTGGTGTCAGGCTACATTCATCTGCGTTTCAGGCCTTTCAGACTCTTTTGTGGGGATTCAGCATTGGAAACAGTAAAGGAGAACAGTATTTCTGCCTAGGCCAGGCATGGGCAAATGTGGCTCCTCCAGGTGTTATGGACTTCAACTCCCACCATTCCTAAAAGCTTCAGACCCCTTCCTTTCCCCCCTCAGCCGCTTAAGAGGCTGAGGGCGAAGAGGAAAGGGCCTGAGGCTGTTAGGAATGATGGGAGTTGAAGTCCAAAACACCTGGAGGAAGGCCCAAGTTTACTCAGGCCTGATATAGCTACACTGTGCTATATAAATATATGTATACATGTATTTATGAAATATTACCCATTTTATGCTGCTATTTATTTAAGGAACTAGAAATATTCTCAATAAAGAGATAAAATAAAACAATCAGCTTAAAGAAATAATTAAAATTCATATTAAAAACAGTGATAACAGAAAATATGATTTATTTCTGAATGTATATTTTCTGATTATATATGCGATTGTGTCAAATAATTAATAAAAAATAAAGGAAAAAAGAAAATATAATGATTAATAATAATAATACAAGTGTGAGTATTGGCAGTGGATAACATCATCTTTCCAAGATATTCCTTTCCTATAGAGCAGGCATGGGCAAACATGGGCCTTCCTCCAGGTGTTTTGGATTTCAACTCCCACCATTCCTTACAGCTTCAGGCCCTTCCTTTTCCCTCTCAGATGCATCCAAAACACCCAGAGGGCCAAAGTTTGCCCATGTCTGGCCTAAACTATGGAATCATGGGAGCTGTGGTTTTACAAGGTCTCTAGCCTTCTCTGCCAAGGAGTGCTGTTAAGAATGGTGGGAGTTGAAGTCCAAAACACCTGAAGGGCCGAAGTTTGCCCATGCCCAGTCTAGAGGGAAGCTTTGGGGCAGGGTTGTGAGGAGAGGTGGATAAACCTTAGTTCTGGGGCAGAATCCACCCCCATTTGGCAGCAAAGTTGGTGGAATTCTGGGCTTTGTAGTCTCCCTAAAATTAATAGTAAAATATTAATAAATAATAATAAAAATAATAAAATATATTAAGCCCTCGAAACCTTTGCTTGTGGTTTGCCTATGGATGTATCTACAATTAAGAACTGATGCGTTTCAACACCCCTTTGAACTGCCATGGCTCCACGATATGGAATCCTGGGAATTGTAGCTCTGCCTTTCCAAAACTACAACTCCCAGGATTCCATAAGTCATCAATTGGGGACTTATGGAAAGGAGATTCCATCTGAACATTAGGAAGAACTTTCTAACTGTGAGAGCCGTTCAGCAGTGGAACTCTCTGCCCCGGAGTGTGGTGCAGGCTCCTTCTTTGGAAGCTTTTAAACAGAGGCTGGATGGCCATCTGTCAGGGGTGATTTGAATGCAATATTCCTGCTTCTTGGCAGGGGGTTGGACAGGATGGCCCATGAGGTCTCTTCCAACTCTATGATTCTATGACCCCCACCCACCCAGCACCAACTGCCACTCTGGGCTAGAGTGAAGAGAAGAGGGGCCAGGGGACAGTTCCATCTTGTCTCCTCCACTATGTTAATAATATAATGTAATATAATATAATATATTGTATATACATGTAATATTTATAATATTATGCAATATAATAGTAATAATAATATATTAATAATATATTTATATTACATGTAATATTACTAACAATATTACTATATAATGGTTTAATACAATATAGTAAGAATTAATACTGATATTGTACTATGCTAATAATATAATATAATGTATTATATATATATATATACACACACTCACAATATAGTAAGAATTACTACTGATATTGTACTATGCTAATAATATAATATATTGTATTATATATATATATATATATACACACACTCACAATATAGTAAGAATTAATACTGATATTATACTATGCTAATAATATAATGTATTGTATTATATATATATATACACACACACACACAATATAGTAAGAATTAATACTGATATTGTACTATGTTAATAATCTAATATATTGTATTATATATACACACACAATATAGTAAGAATTAATACTGATATTGTACTATGCTAATAATATAATATATTGTATTATATATACATACACAATATAGTAAGAATACTGATATTGTACTGTTAATAATATAATATATTGTATTATATATATATATATATACACAATATAGTAAGAATTAATACTGATATTGTACTATTTTAATAATATAATATATTGTATTATATATATATATACACACACACACACAATATAGTAAGAATTAATACTGATATTATACTATGCTACTAATATAATATATTGTGTATATATATATATATATATATATATATAGTGAGAAGGGCGGCATAGAAATGTCATAAATTAATAAATAATCGTTTCAAAGTGGTGTCAAACTGCATTAATTCCACAATGTAGATGCACCCTCGGTGTTCTCTCCCTACACCTATGGAGGCCTCCAAACTCCTCTGAAGTAAACTCCCCCTCATGCGCAGGTATCTATCTAGATCTATCAGAGAAGAGAGAGAGATCTTATGTACGCGCATGCGCACACGCAAACACACACTCCTGCTCCACTCCGGTTACCTGCCCGGTCCCCATCTCCGCTCCGTCGGTGTTGCAGCTGAAAAGGGACGGTGGCCTTGAGGGGCTGCAGCCCGCCCCGGCAGTAAGAAGACGTCCCTGCTGCCATCTGCCCCTTCCCTTCCCTCAGGCCAGGTAGCCACCTCCAAGACAACCCCTCCTCATCCCTCGCCCTCCTGGCGACAACTGAAAGGCTCGCTCACGGGACGCTGCCTCCCCCTTGGCGGGGGGCGTTCCCAAAGATTAAGGGGCGCGGCCTAGGCCCTTTGCCGGCACTGATTGGTCCGCACAAATTGGGGGAGGCGGGGCCTGGGAGAAGACTCTCGCGTGGCCCGCACAGGCTCCTCCTCCTTCTCCCTCCTGGCATACACGTTTGCTCAGTGTGTGCAGAGTGGGGAGGAAGAGCAAGCCCATTGGAAGGGGGGCTCGGTGGCTGCTTCTTCTATTGTGGACAATTTCAACAGAAAGGAGGAGACCATGAAAATGAACAAAATCTGGCTACCAGTATTAAAAAACTCTAAAATTACTACAGCAAAACAGCAGAGAGGAAACAACCAGGCACATCTTAACACCTCTCAACAGAACATTTTCCCAGGCTCAGCCAGGCCTTCAAATGCTAATGAAGGTGGTCAGCTGAAACATTCACACCTAGCTTCAGCAGAGAGCTCTTTGCCCCACCCCAGTCATTCCACAGATATATAAACCCATTTTCCTATTTCCAACAGACCTCACTACCTCTGAGGATGCTTGCCATAGATGCAGGCGAAATGTCAGGGGAAGCCCTTGAAAACGGCTCGGAAATTCGAACTGGTCCAACGGGCAGCAGCCAGGATGTTAACGGGGCCCATTACAGAGAGAGGTCAACCCTCCTGTTTAAGGAGCTCCACTGGCTGCCGTTTATTTTCCGAGCCCAATTTAAGGTGCAGGTGCTTACCTACAAAGCCCTGAACTGTTTGGGACCACCCTACCTGCGTGACTGTATCGCTGTCTACGAACCCACATGCTCACTCCGGTCATCAGGAGAGGCCCTGCTCGTGATCCCGCCCGCGTCACAGGCGCGTTTGGTGGGGATGCGAGACAGGGCCTTTTCTGTGGTGGCCCCCCGACTCTGGAACACCCTCCCGAAAGATCTCAGACAGGCCCCTACTTTGGCGGTTTTCGGAAAGAATCTGAAAACCTGGCTGTTCCAACGTGCCTTTTCAGATTAGGTACCCCACTACCAAACCCCAGAAGCACTTTAGTAGAGCCAAGATCACTGCTCACCGCACACTGCACTTGATTTTAATCCCATATCCCTCCGACACTTCAGCACTTTTAATCCTGTACCCTACTCCGGCCGGCTCAGTTTTTAATAATGTCCTGTTGTATTGCTATTGTTATTGTTTTCTGCTTTAACTGTTTTATTTGCTATGTATTGTATTGTTGTATTGTGTTGGGCTCCGGCCTGTTGTAAGCCGCATCGAATCCCTTGGGAGATGCTAGCGGGGTACAAATAAAGTTATAATAATAATAATAATAACAATAATAATAGAACATGGCCCTATAGCCCGAAAAAACCTGCAAGAACCTAGTGATTCCAGCCATGAAAGCCTTCGACAATACATTCTTCTCTTGTTGTTTCTGTGCTGTCAAAGCCAAAGGTGAACCTATCTATCACAGGGTTTTCTTGGGAAGATGGGTTCAGGAGGGTTTTGCCATTGCTTACCTTTGAGGCTGGGAGAGTGTGACTTGGCCAAAGTCGCCCAGTGGAAGAGCAAACTACAAACCACCTGCTGCAATGCAACCTGAGCCCTGCTACATGCACAATGGAGGACCTTCTTGCGGCAACATCAGAGGCACTCCAAGTAGCCATCTACTGGTCAAATTACATTTAATCAACTACCATGCTTGCAAACTTTGTGTTTTGTCTGTTTGTTTGTTTTTTGTTTGTTTGTTGTGTTAAAATGTAATACAACTTGGGTTGTTGTAGGTTTTTTCGGGCTATATGGCCATGGTCTAGAGGCATTCTCTCCTGACGTTTCGCCTGCATCTATGGCAAGCATCCTCAGAGGTAGTGAGGTCTGTTGGAACTAGGAAAAAGGATTTATATATCTGTGGAATGACCAGGGTGGGACAAAGGACTCTTGCCTGTTGGAGCTAGGTGTGAATGTTTCAACTGACCACCTTGATTAGCATATATTGGCCTGACAGTGCCTGGAGCAAACTTTATCAGGCCATTATATGCTAATCAAGGTGGTACTTTGGCTACATCATGAGAAGAAAGGAAAGCTTAGAGAAGACAATTATGCTGGGGAAAATGGAAGGAAAAAGGAGGAGGGGCCAACCAAGGGCAAGAATCATAGAATCAAAGAGTTGGAAGAGACCTCATGGGCCATCCAGTCCAACCCCCTGCCAAGAAGCAGGAATATTGCATTCAAATCACCCCTGACAGATGGCCATCCAGCCTCTGTTTAAAAGCTTCCAAAGAAGGAGCCTCCACCACACTCCGGGGCAGAGAGTTCCACTGCTGAACGGCTCTCACAGTCAGGAAGTTCTTCCTCAAGATGGATGGCATCCTTGAATTCACTGGCTTGACCTTGAAAGACCTGGGGGTGGTGATGGCTGACAGGGAGCTCTGGCATGGGCTGGTCCATGAGGTCACAAATGGTTGGAATCGACTGAACTAATGAACAACAACTCTAGAGGCTTAGGCCCCTTCCACACAACTGAGTAAAATCCCACATTACAGTGTTCCCTCACTTATCATGGGTGTTACGTCCCAGAACCACCCACAAAAAGTGAAAATCCATGAAGTAGGGACGCTATATTTATTTTAATATTTATACATTATTTTAGTAGTTAGACACTATTTTAAGTCTTTATAAACCCTCCCCACACACTTATACACTACATAACCCTTTTCCTTTACCGTAAAAACAAAATCCAGGGGATTACTGTATCTGCTTTAAACTGGAATGTATGGCAGTGTGGACTCAGATAACACTATTCAAAGCAGATATTGTGGAATTTTCTGCCTTGATATTCTGTTTTATATGGCTGTGTGGAAGAGCCCTTCCTCTCTCTGGCCTGACTCCCTTCTCCCAAGCATTTGGGATAAGACTTGTCTGATAAGGGAAGACACAGGGCCCTTCCGCACAGCCCTATATCCCAGAATATCAAGGCAGAAAATCCAACAACATCTGCTTTGAATGGGGCTATCTGAGTCCACACTCAGATAATGGGGGATTTTCTATCTTGATATTCTGGGATATAGGGCTATGTGGAAGGACCCTCAGGCCCTTTCCACGCAGCTGAATAAAATCCCACATCATCTGCTTTGAAGTGCAATATATGGCAATGTGGGCTCAGTTAACCCAATTCAAAGCAGATATCATGGGTTATTCTGCCTTGATATTCTGGGTTATATGGCTGTGTGGAAGAGTCTCTAGTGCAATACTCAAAGCAACAATGCCCACTTGGTTTGCATGCTAAGCACCCCTTCTTCTGTTTGGGACCAGAAATATTTCAAATCTGGGAATATTTACATGCACATCATGAGATATCTTGGAGGTTACAGGATGTGTCTCACAATACATTGTCAAACAACTTCAGTTTCATCTCTCAGAACCCTTCCAAACAGGCCCTATATCCCAGGATCTGATCCCTGGTTTCCTGCTTTAAACTGGATTATCTGAGTCCACACTGCCAGATAATCTGGGAAACAGAGAAAATTTGGCATCAGATCCTGGGATATAGGGCCTGTCTGGAAGGGTCCTCACAGTTGTATAAAATCCACATTGAACTGGCAGTGTGAACTCAGATAAACCAGTTCAAAGCAGATACTGTGGGTCATCTGCCTTGATATTCTGGGTTATATGGCTGTGTGGAAGGGTCCTAGAAGAGCCCACAAATACCAGGGCAGATTATCTAGGACTCCTTTCACACAGCTGTATAAAATCCACATTATCTGCTTTGAACTGGCAGTGTAGACTCAGATAATCCAGTTCAAAGCAGATAATGTGGATTAAAGGTAAAGGTAGTCCCCTGACATTAAGTCCAGTCATGTCTGACTCTGGGGTGTGGTGCTCATCTCCATTTCTAAGCCGAAGAGCCAGCGTTGTCCGTAGACACCTCCAAGGTCATGTGGCCGGCATGACTGCATGGAGCGCCGTTAAAATATTAAGGCAGATAATGTGGATTATCTGCCTTAATATTTTGGATTATATGGGTAGGAACCGTGGCCCTTTTTATTCAAAACATCCATGATTCACTGAGTTGTTGTAGGTTTTTCGGGCTATATGGCCATGTTCTAGAAGCATTCTCTCATGACGTTCCACCTGCATCTATGACAGGCTTCCTCAGAGGTTGGGAGGAAGAGGAAAGAGGCTGGCAGACCAGATGTAGCTGGGGGGGGGGGGGGGGGGGGGTGCTTGAGGGTCTTCACCCCGCCCCCCCCCCCGAAATTCTCATGGTGGTTCACGAAAAGGCCTTTACTGGTGCATTATTTAAACTGTTATGTTTATTCATATCATGATCTGATCACCATACTCAATATATCCCATATGCATGGGGGTATTGGGGTAATGATACAAAAGGTTTGCTAGGCTAGACCCTCTTTCACTCAGACTCTGCCCCCCAAACTCAGCCCCCCCCGAAACCCCCCTGAAAAAATTCGCCCCCCCCCCCCCCCGAAACGAAATCCTGGCTACGGGCCTGACACACCCATGGATTCGTTGCCATGAATCCTTCGGATATACATCCGAAAGAAAATTGCAACCTCTGATTGTCCTCTGTCTGTGGTCCGTGGACCACCAATGGTCTGCAAGATCTAAAATCTGGTCCATGGTCTCACTGTTACTACACCATTGCAATTAGAGTGACCGATATTGCAAAACCCTCTTATAGTGCTGAGGCTTATTAAAAAGGGTTATTGCAAAACCCTCTTATAGTGCTGTGGGCGAGCAGATGGCAACTACTGGATGACATATGTTTTGTATCAGAAGCTAGAGCTGATGTGGTCTATCCAATGCAATTTTCTAAATCAGCACCCCAAATAACCAAACCAATCTAAAGCTGACCAAAAAGTGATTCGTAACCCTTTTGGTACTAATGTTGGAGAATGGTCTCTGGTCAAGTGGTCCCTGGTCAAAAAAAGGTTGGGAACCACTGAGTTAGAAGAGTAAACTGAACCTGGAAACGTCACTTTCTAACAGTGGTTTTCAACTTGTGGGTCC